GTGAAGGAAATAATGATTCTTATGTTTAAGGGAAAGTAAGGATTAAAATATAGGTATAAAGTAATATGAAAAGATCATGTGTATTAAAGTACAGACAAGGATTAAGAAATGATGAAAGGTCGGATGTATATGATTGGTTAATTAGGGCTTTTGCCCTAGATTGAACAGTTGTTAATGACTAGCCGTAAGAGTAAAGGTGATAGAGTTACAAGATTGGAAGAAAAGATAAAGTGAGTTAATCAAGTATGATATGGATTTGAATATGGTTATGTTTTTGGATCTTATATATATATGATTAAGACAATGAGAAGAGTATTTCCAGTTTTTAAAGGGAGCTTTGAGGAATAAAAATACAAGTACAAGAGATGGTAAAGGAAGAGGTTCTATATAAATAAAGTGGATTATCAAAGTTATGAAAATGCGATGAAGATCAGTAATCAGGGATAAGTATAAGTGATATGAAAAGAGTATGAGAGCCTGAAGAAAATATATGATATATATTACAAGGAGATTTTGATTTGTGGATGAGTAAAGGGAAAAGGAAATTAAATGAAAAATAAAATTAAAGGGTTAAGTATGATAGAGGTTATATGGAAGTGTAAATGATAAATTCGATATAGAAATACGAAAAGTGTGCAAGGTGATGTGAAAAGATTGTTTGAGTCCATAAAGTATATGTTTAATCACAATTGAAGAAGATTTAAAGTCGTGTTTTGGTCAAATGATGATGAAATAAAAGTTTGGTATTGTGATACGGAAATTAAAGATTAATGAAGAAATAGATTGATTTATTATATGAAGTGATGAGAATGGATGTTATTATCTACTTGATGAGTAATATTGTATGAATTTTATAAAGATCAAAGGAAAATGCAGAATCGCAGGAGAGAAAATAAATAAATGGATGAGGTTACTGGTTACTGTTTATATGATAAGCGACAGTAGATGAATGTATAAAGGAAAAAGGTAATTGAAAAGCTAAAGGAATGAAAAGTAAGTTTTCTGATGATGACAAGAAAGATTAAGTAAGTGAAGCAACATGAGAACATTAGGAGATATGTTCTTATCAATGTGTGCAATGAAAATTCGAGGACGAATTTTCTTAAAAGGATGGTAACATACTCAATACCGGGTTAGTGACTAAATTGTAAAATTTCAGAATTTGGTGATAAAAGTACAATAGTTGAATAGTTCAATGATTTATGTGGAGATTTCCTAAAAGTTGTTAGTAATTATTAAAGGAATTAAAGGGAAAAATGGTCATTTGACTTAGAAATGAATAAAATAATGATATATATGGGAATAAGGTTGAGAGATTTCTCCATAAATCTTTTCACTCTTCATTCTTCATCTTCTTCTTTTCTCCAACGTGTCCAAGCTAGAGCAAAGGTGAGTTTTCTATTTTGTTGATTATTTGTTAATTTTAAGAGTGAGTTTTGATTGTTAGATTATAACTAAGCTTAAGGAAAGCTTAAATTATCTTAAAATCAAAAGATGAAGAAGTTATGAAAGATTAAAGAAAATGAGTTTTTTAGTGAATTCTTGGAAAAGAGTTGATAAGTTGAATTTGAAACTAAATTTGACTTGTCATAAATGTGAATAAGAAGTTATAAGTGTTAAATTAAAGTTTGGATAACATGGAAAATTTGGTATGATTCTTAGCCTTAAGAATTTGGATGAAATATGGAAGATTATAAGGAGTTTGACTGATAGAAATTTGTTAAAGTTGTTATAGATGAATTTAGTAGCATAATAAGGATTTTATACAATAAAATTTGGGTGAAGTGTTGATGATTTTCAGATGAAATAGTCTATTATGGGCAGGTGCATCGATACACTATGAGTGTGTACCGATGCTCTAAGATAATTTTTGAAGGTACATCGATGCATTAAAGGGTGCATCGATACATTAAAGGGTGCATCGATTCATTAAAGGGTGCATCAATGCATGGATATTTCGAAGCTATTTTGTGTACTGATGCACCCATAGTGCATCGATACACCCCTAAAGGAAAAATGAAATTTTGGTTTATTAAATTAGCCTAAGTTATTAATACCAAGTTATAAGGTTTATGCTTTTGATAATCGTTTCGAAAATTATGTTTATATAGATATTGAACCTAAAAAAGTTTCGGAACAATCAAAGAATTAGGATCGAATCAAAGCAAGGCTAAGGTGAGTGCAATTTAAATTGTACTTATGTGATTGATCAAACATTGACTTGCAATGAGCCAATGATAGAGTTACTATGGTAAGAAGTAACTTATAAAATGTTATGTGATTACTATGTGTGCATTAGTACATAGAAATTGATGTATGCTATTATATGTTACATGATTTACATGCTTACGTGAAAATGCAACATATGATGTATGTTACTTGATATGATATGCAAGGTTACATGAACAAATGAGAAATGATAAAAGCCATATGAAATGATCTATGTGAATACATGCATTTGTGATACGTGTTATATGATATTAGATATATGTTTACATATACATGTGGTATGTGACATAATAGAAGGAACATGTGATTATGAGATCAATGATTACACGTACATGTGATACGTGACTAAAAAGAAAAGATATGTGTTTATAAGAGAAAGAATATGAATAAGTAATGTGAACTATTATAAATGATAATGCCCATGTTATGCAATATGAGAGCTAGGGGTATAGTTGGCATTCCAAGGGTCGAGGGTTTACCTATGTTCTTCGGGACATATGGACTGTTTACCTATGTTCTTCGGAACATATGGACTGATTACCTAGGTTCTTCGGAATCTATGGACTGGTCCTTCGTGACATTTATACGAGCTATGGTGACAGCATAATTGTGCACAACCTCAATGTACTCACATACCTTAAGTTCTCAAAATTATACATGGGCTAATACATGGTCTTTAAAGAGAGTAAATAAATAATTTGATATGATACTATGTGTGCTCTGTTATGAAATGACATGGATGCACGATGGTGAGTATAAAAAGGTACAATATATGATTACATGATAAAAAGGAATTAGTAATAGTAATATGAGTACTGATAAGTGTGTTAATGATATATGTATATGTGTGCATTGGTTATACAATAGGAGATATGCTTTTATATGATATAATAGTTTTAATTGTTTATGCATTGATATGAGTAGAGTAATATCATATGTTTTCATGCCTCACTAAGTCAACGACTTAGCGTGTGATTGTTTCACGCGTAGGTTCTGAGAAGAGGAAGATTGATAAGAGTTATGCAAGACAGGTCAATTCCTCCTTTCCAAAGATCAGATCAGGAAAAAAAATGTATAGTATGTATTTTGTAATAAAGATAAAGGTTAGCATGTAAATAAAGGTTTAAATCCTATATGTTCTAATCGGTTTGTAAAATCATATGATAGAGTTTGTGTGATTGTTCACGCGTGGTTCTGAGAAGAGGAGATTGATAAGAGTTATGCAAGACAGGTCAATTCCTCCTTTCCAAAGATCAGATCAGGAAAAAAAATGTATTATAGTATTTTTGTAATAAAGATAAAGGTTAGCATGTAAATAAAGGTTTAAATCCTATATGTTCTAATCGGTTTGTAAAATCATATGATAGAGTTTTGTAATGTTTTAAACGTATTCTTGTAAATGTAAATGTATAGTATGATCACTGTAGTGTATCGATGCACAATTTTACTTCAAAATTTAGTGCATCGGTGCACTGTAGCAATGTATCGATGCACTGTAGCAATGTTCATGGTACTGTTCACGGTAATGTTCATACCGTATAGTATGGTTCATACCGTATAGTACTGTTTATAGATACGTTGTTCCCTTAAATTTTTATAATGAAGCATAATTTAATTGTATTTTCTTAATATAAGTCCAAAGGTTCTGTATTTTGTTAAGAATTTTGTTTTTAAAAGTCAATGTGACATCTCGGACTCATATTCGGGTCAGGTACGAGTTGGGGTGTTACATATACAAAAAAATATTTGAATTCTAATCGATGATAGATCAGAAAACAGGGCATCAGATTATGATCAAAACCAATTCTATAAGTCAACTTTGAAAATTCACTATAAATTGTACAAATGGAACTAGAAGGAGTTCCTTTTATGGTTGGATTATTATTTGAGTCTAGTTTACATTGGTTTAAACGGAATAATTTTTAAGTGTGTATATTAATATAGAATAATATTTTTTTGAAGCTAGTGCAAACTACCAGAATATGAAATTGTAATAAAAATTGGGATTGAACCAAATTGAAAGCGAAGGATTAAGTTGAAGCTTAGTGAGACTTATATTGACTTGTTTATAATTTCAAAGTAAGTGCAAGGCATGCATAACATTATACATAGATGTTTTATACATTATAAAGTAAGACTTGTTATAAGTCTACCTTATCTACGTTGGCACAATATTTATGTCATTTATCATATATTTGACGTATTCTAAATATGTCAAAAATTGAGTAAAAAATGCATTGATTACTGGTTATTATTTATGATATTTATTATTATTATTATTATTATTATTATTATATATATATATATATATATTATTTCGGGTATGAATTGTCCAATGTGAAATTATATTAATATACTTCGTCATGGATGTATTAAATAAATATAGACTATATGGCCAAGTATGTCATTGAGGGTCAGTGGTATTGATGGCGTGCTATAAAGTCCAACAGCTGTAGGTTTCAGCGCTATAGTGTGCAAGGACACTTAGTGCAAGTGGTGGACACAACCGTATGTGTCACATTTGGATCAATAATAGAGTGTAAACCTAGTGTAGATGGTGTGCACGACCTTATGTGTCATATATGAATCAACACTACGATGCTTATATTTGGCTCGAATACCGGGGTCCTCATGGGTTTATATTTTTGGCTATGGTTTATTGGTTAATAAATGATAGATAGGTGAATAAGCTTACGAGCTTATGGAATAAATGACAAGTATATTGGTAAGAAATTTTATATCTGGTTTTTATCATGTTGATATATGGTAATATGGTTGGAATGCAGGTAAAGTGATCATAATGCATTAAATATTGTTACTCATTTCATTTATGTGTTGCATTGCTTTGAATATTTTTATGATTGCCTCACTAAGTGTATATTTAGCTTGTGATGATTTTCATACGTAGGTAAAAGAATGCAAGAGGAGTAAGGAGCTGAGTTTGACATCAATCACCGAGGAATATTTTCAGGTAACAATGATGACATCCTATCGTGTTCAAAAGTTTATAGCTGGCATGTATACGAGTAAGAAATGTCTGCAAATTATAAGTATGTATACTATTAAATATTAAGTAATTGGATTTTAAATCAAATGGGTTTTAGATAGTTTTATTTATGATATGAAAAAGAATAGAATTGTCTAGTTGATAACTAAAATCGGATTTCAAATAGAGGTCAGAATATTATTATATTTTGATTTTATATGAAAAATTATTTGACAAAAAAAGTTAAGAATTGTAAATTTTTGAAAGAAACAAAATTTTACCAGTTTTCAAATTTAGTTTATCTCATAATATTTTGTGACATCTCTGACTCGTGTACGGGTTGGATACGGGAAAGAGGTGTTACAAAATCAATTAGAATTTTTAAGAGATTTTAGAAGATAAGATGTTTAGATAAAAGAAAAAAATCATTAAAATTTTCTAGAGTGATTTTAGTACCAATTGTTATAGCTCACAGTGAAATCAGTTAGATAAGGGATTTTAGAAAATAAGAAGTTTAGATATAAGAATAACTTTTCATTAAAATTTGTCAGAATGATTTTCCCTTACACCTAATATTTTTCTTATATTCTTAGTATCGAAATCTAACAAAATGTATTCTATATAGTTGTAAAAAATTATAATATTTTTATATAAAAAACATGAATTTTATCAATAATTATGTAATTTAGTGAGATGATATATTAAGTTCTTTAAATAAGTCGAAAGTAGTTTGAATTTTGATATTGTTAAAAGAATAAATTGGATTTAGAGGATTGCCTAATAACAAACATGTATAATATTCGATTTAAATTAATTAATCAATAGATTATACAATTATCTCTTATGGAATCGACCGTCAAGTTGGTACATAATTCATTTCACAGTTTGACTCGACAAAAGTTCATGGTTGATGATAAACGACACTCACGGACTCTTGTTCATTGGGTAAAGCTACTAGAAAGGAGATCATTGACTTGTGCTTGGATTGCATCAGAAAGCTAGTTGATAACCGTACTGATCTTCAAGGTTTCTTGTTTTCAATGATGTTGGAAGAGGCACTGGATTTGGTCTTGGTTCACTTCTTTTGGAGCTTCTGTATAGTGATTTTGACCAGAAATTCGAGTTGGGTTTCACGGTCTACTCTTCTCCTCAAGTCTCTACTTCTAGTGTTAAGTCCTACAGCAGTGTTCTCTCAACTCACTCTTTTTTGGAGCACACCAATATAATTGTTCTTCTTGACAATGAGGCCACCTATGACATTTGCAGGCAGTTTCTTGACATCGAATGGGTGTCTTTCACCAATTTTAACCATCTTGTCTCTTAGGTGACCTCTTCTTTGACTGTTTCACTAAGGTTCGACGGCACGGTAAACATGGAGGAGTGTCGTATTTGTTACTCTTCTTGGAATCTTGAGGACAAGGTTCTGTTGGTAGACGGGTAGAGATTCTAGTCTTGGGTAGTATATAAACAAAACAGTGACTTAAGGGATATAATATTTGTTAAACATTTGGCTGCGACTACTTTCTTCTCTAGGTTCCATGTTCCTTACCGAAACTTTTCTTTTCTACTTTATCCTCCTTTCTCTGTTTCTCTACTGTTATTATTGAAATTGCAAGAAATTCGTGACAAACGGTTTTTCATAAATACTGTTTATCACTTTATTTTTCATATTATAGATTCAATCTTCAAAACTTTTAAACAAGATACAGCTGAAAATTATCGATTCAGAAACCAACATCGAATTAACCGCAAAAATATCACTAGCTTAAACTAAGCTTTAAGTTGTTAAACAGCTGATTAATAATCAATAATCGAACGTTTGTAGTTATACCGCAGGGATTTACAAAATCGGCTCCCTAATATTCCAAATAATCCACGGTTCAATGGAAAAGGGAGCTTTACTTTTTAGAGCTATACCTCAAGCTCAACCACAAAAATCAAAAGACGTAGACTCCGCATCAACAAAATGAAGAATCATTTTAACTGTTGAGGGTTGAAAGCATGCCTCCGGTACCAGTCGGCAGTACAACCTCCCAACCAGGACCTTTGAGGGGAACTGCCTTGGCCTCCTCTCCATTGCCAGAATCAACAATAAGGTCACTGCGATCAAGAATCCTTTCCAGATCCTCATCGCTGATATCTGTCTGAATCATCTTGTCCTCGGCAGTTTCTTCATCCCGGAGAAGTGCCAGTAGATCATCCTCCTGAAATTTTTCAGTCTGAAAGTCAGTCTACAGCCTCACATGATAATCTTTACAATTCACAAGGAAAATGGATTGGTAAAAGATCCCAGAGCATATGGTTTGAGAAATGAAATGCATGATAAAACAAACCTCAATGACATCATTACTAGGTTTCCGTTCTTGGTGGAACTGCCCTTTTCCAATCACCACATGTTCTAGCTTCAACTAACTATAAGCTCTTTTCAAAATGCGACACTGTTAAAAAACACATCTTTCAGTTTCTTCTTAATCTCACTGCCAGTAGGGAACTTAAAAAAGGCCCAAATATTGGAAAAGGGAACGGTGAATACCTCAACGGATTGTGCTGTTGCAAGTCTATAAACATGAACAGGTTTGGTTTGTCCAATGCGATGACATCTATCCATGGCTTGCAGATCCATTTGAGGGTTCTGTGATAGACAGGTAACATAATAAGGTTTTAACTCCATTAACAATTCAGGAACCGAAGAACAAATAAGCATGAGGAATAGAACCGGATACCCAGTCACTATCGTAGAGTATGCAAGTATCAGCTGCAGTCAGGTTGATACCCAGGCCACCTGCCCTTGTGCTGAGAATAAATATCCTATAATTGCTGTTCACATCATTGAACTCTTGGATCTATTTTCAGGACCAAAAAGACGGCAATACAATGTAGCCAGTTAGTAATTACAATTAATGAGATATCTGAAACTGGAGAACATAATTAAAGAAGACAGAATTTGGCGAATTTGTTCTAATGAAGACCAAAATACACACATCAACCCATTTCTGTGCATAATGTGGTTTCAACTTTAAGGTAATTTGAGAGAACTACAAAACAAATCATAATAAATATACAGTATTTCATCGTTGCACATACCTGTCTTCTCCTTTCTTCTAATTTCACGGCACCATCAATCCTACAAACATTAAACCCCTTTTCACTAAAATAGTAATCCATTATATCCAGAACCTTAGTCCACTGACTAAAGATGAGAACCTGTTGACAAAAGGCTGGGAAAATGAGTAGGCAGCTTTAAATATATATAAAACAATGAGAACATACAAACTAAACGCTCATAACGTACTTTGTGTTTACGCTCAAATAACTGGGTCAACAACCGGTCGAGCAATTTAAACTTCCCACACTGCTCCACGATCTGCTCTACGGGTGGATAAAAATCTTCACAAACAAGAGAAAAGAGTAAGTGAAGTTGCCGAGAATTCTTTCAGTTTTTCGGGGGGGGGGGGGGGGAACACAAGAGGGGTACATGATCCATCGAAGGCGGCTTCTAGGAGATCTGGATGGTTGCAATTCTTCCGAAGCTGAATCATCAAATTGTTAAGCTTCCCTTTCATACCACGCCCTGCAGTATTGCAAAGGTAAACTATCATACAAATCGTGGCAGAATACAGAATGCTTAAAATTAAGATTTCGAACATAATGCGGTATAGTCAATCTCTAGTTCTTCTGCCCTTATCGTGTTTTACTCAAATTGAAATGATAATAGTGATGCTTCTAAAACCAAACTCAACAGATCTAATACCTGTGTCAACCTTCTCTTTTAGATATGATTCCAAAGTTTGATTAAGCAAATGATCTTGGAAATTCCTTTGGTACTCGGTCAATGTAGCATATAGTATGATCTCCTTTTTACGAGGGAGCATATGCTCCACATCAGCCTTCATTCTTCGAAGAAGAAAGGGGCGCAATATAGCATGGAGTTTAGCTACCACCTGCAGGTTGGAAAAAGTTAAAATCAGAATTAATTTATAAATTGTAGTTTCAGAGGTGAGGGTAGGAAAACAGTCAGAAAGGTGCGTACTTGAGCTCTTCTTTTCTCTTCCATTTCTTCCTGTGACATATCACCATTACTTCTCCCCGAAAAATCAAACCTAAATATTTAAATCATGTCATAAATGAGATAGCAGTAAGCCAATGCAGCAAATCTCACCCAGGAAGAGGAAAAAGCAATTATATTAATAACTCAAATAAAAAAATAGAAACCCTGAATGCTTTCCAGCAAATTTTAATGACCTAAAAGGCCAACAAAGCATTTCCTACGTTTTCCAAGTATTCAAAAGTATTAGAGAAGAGGACCAAGATATTCAAGATATGCTCTCAATCAATATAGTAAGCTGAGTAACTACAGAAAAACAGAACATGATGAATTTTACAAGGAATAATTACTAGATGTGGAACCATGACAGCATAAATAGTAAGCAATCTAGTTACTTATTTCATACCTAATGTTACTAGGATAGAGGCACAAGTATCGGATATTGATATGTATCGGACACAGGTATGATTAAATTTTTTTTAGATTTTTCTTTCATTAGGAGGATCCTTGGAGTTGGGATGAAGAGTTCAAACATGGTTTAGTACCATACTTTTAACTTGAGAGTTGACCAAGAAAATATTAAGCAACATACCATGACTCAAATTCTTCATGAGATTGAAAAATATCAGGCAAAATGAAATTCAACAACGACCATAGCTCTGCCAAGTTGTTCTGCAGAGGTGTACCAGTTAAGAGGAGCTTATTGGCAACACGCAAGTGTTTCAATTCTTTCACTAATTTGCACTTGAAGTTTTTCAATCTGTGCCCCTATAAGAGAGAATAACAGTAAGAATGGACCATTTTCCCATCGACAAGTTTTCACATATTTAGGAGTACAACCAGAAGACTTAGCCAAGCTATAGACAGTCCGGAATAAAATACTAACCTCATCAACCACAACATATTTCCAGTCATAATGCCTCAAACATTTCTTTGCATCACTCATAGCCATCTCATAAGAAGTAACAACAATTGGAAAGTTGGGGCCAATTCCTTTAGGCATGTGCTTCCTACGAATCTCATCCCTTTCTTGCTTTGTTCCATGATAAATGATTGCATCAATAGAGGGTGTAAACCTGCTTAAAAAAAGAGGGAAAAGAACAATTAAAAGATGAAATTTGATTATATGTTTTTACATAAAACCTAACAAATCATTTTACCTAGTAATCTCGTTTATCCAATTAGAAAGAGTTGACAGAGGAGCAATAATCATATAGGGCCCGTTCATCCCATTTCCATTCAAATGTGCAAGAAAAGCAATAGTTTGAATTGTCTTTCCAAGACCCATCTGATCAGCAAGGATCCCATTCAGCCCATTCTGCCATAAGGAGATCAACCACTTCACACCTTTAAGTTGATAAGACTTCAATTTTCCACCAGTCAACAAGGGTACAAGTTCTCTCTGCTCTTTCTCAATTTTTTCCTCTTCAGTCAGGTTTTCATCTTCAGTGTTCACACTCTCTCCCTCTTTAGATCTAGTAAGCATAGCTGCAACTGCCCTCTTGATCTTCTTCTGGAAGAATGAAATCACAGAAAAGTAGCGGCTTAATACAACCCCAGTCTTCAAATTAAATTACAAGGATCTCAAGGCTACCAATGGATCAGAAACATACAACCTGCAAACTAGCATTGTTCTCCAAAAAAGCTATTATCATGCAATAACTATTGAGATAAACCAGATTGTTAACAGGGAACTGGAGCACTGAACAATTTACAAGTTGACTGGGCATTGATAAGCAATAACAGAAGCATAAGTTAAGAATAGTGAATATCAAGACAAAATGCAACAGATAAAGGACCTACCAAGTAAGAAATAGAAACAACTAATCATGTACAAATGATGCTGCATTACAGCACATGTATTGTAAGCATTCAATGTTGTCAGGGTAAATAAAGCAGAAATCATACATTGTTGTACTGGTTAGCAGCTCTTCTTTTTGAACCTCGACCTCTCTTTGCCACAGCAGCTTCAGCCTTAGGTACATTCTACCAATATTATAACAGATAATCAGAAGAACACCAAACCAATTCAAATTATAAAAATGTATGTGAAAGAAAGGTGATAGGGAAGTACAAATGTGATGTCCTCCATCTTTTCAAGCAAAAACTCTGAGTACATCTGAGTTTGGGTCAAAAGCTCATCCAATCTAGTAAACTGGGTATCATTCAAATGCACCGACTCTTCAGGCTCCTCTTGTTTTATATCCTCTTTCAACCGATCTTCCATTAGTTTCTCTTCCTCCTTGATCATAGCCTCTGATAAAAGAGATGCATCTCCA